GAGTCATAGGGAGAGACTGGCAATAAAACTATGGGGACTTCAATAAAAAATGGGGGGCCTCAATTTAGCCCCTCTCCACCTCAGACAAATCTAACCAAAAAATAAACAAAAAAAGTCAGGAACCCGAATTTTAGAATTTTAGAAAAGTTAGATATGATAGATCTCTGGAGATAATAGAAAGGAGTGTGTGTATGTGTGTGTGTGTGTGTGTGTGTGTATACACACACATATTTCTCAGCTGTGCATGGAACCTTCACAAAGACTGACCCTCACAAATGCAGAAAAGTGGAAATATTAAATACATCTTTTTATGGACCACAACATACTAAAATATATTCAATAAAGTGCCCCTTAAAATTAATAGGAGACTAAATATAACAATCCAAAAGAATGAGTGGATCAAAGAAACAAATCAGTGAAATAATAATTTCTTCAAAGATAATGACAATAATGAGACAATTTATCAAATTTTTTGGGAAAATGTATGTTTCTAAACACTTTCACCAATAAAAGAGCAGATTAATGAAGTGGGCATACAAGAAAAAAAAACCCTAGAAAAATCAACAAATTAAAAAACCCTAATTAAACAACAAATTGAAATCCTAAAAATCAAAGAAGAGATTAATAAAACAGCAAAAAACAACAGTAACAACAATGAATTAATAAAACTAGGAGCTGGGATTTTTTTGGGAAAAACAAGATATAAACCATTAACGAACATGATTTTTTTTAAAAAGCAGAAAACCAAATGACTAGTATAAAAATAAAAAAGATGAATTCCTAACCAATAAAGAAGTAAAAAAATGATCGGGAACTATTTTGTTCAAGTATATGCCAATTAAACAGACACTCTAAATGAAATGGAAGAATATTTACAAAAATATAAAATGCCCAGGTTGAAGAAACAAGAAATAGAGAATCTGAATAACTCAATCTCAGAAAAAGAAATTGAACAAGTCATAAATTGAATAACTCAATCTCAGAAAAAGAAATTGAACAAGTCATAAATTGAATAACTCAATCTCAGAAAAAGAAATTGAACTCCCAACAGAAAAAATACCCAGGGTCAGATGTGTTTATAAGTAATCACACATTTAAAAAATAATTCCAAACATTACATAAACTACTGGAAAGAAATAGGAAAAGAAAGGCTCCTACCAAATTACTTCTATGATACAAACAGAGCAGGTCTTGATACCTAAACCACAGTGAATGAAAACAGAGAAAAAAACTACAGGCCACTATGCCTAATGATATTGATACAAAAATGTTAAATAAAGTATTAAGAAGGAGACTATGGTAACACATCACAAAAATTACACTCCATGACCAATCTGGAGCTATTGCTCCAGGAATGCAAGGGAGGCTCAGGGTTAGAAAAACTATAATCATAAATGACTAAACTAATTAGAACAACAAAAATCATGTAATTATATCAATAGATGCAGAAAAGACCTTCGACATGATATAATCATTTCTGTTAAAAAATACTAGAAAGCATGAGAATAAATAAATTTTTTCCATGATATGATAAATAGCATTTATCTAAAACCAAATATGGGGATAAACTAGATGCCTTTCTAGTAAAATCAGGGTAAAGCAAGGATGTCCATTATCATAATTACTATTCAATATTGTGCTAGGATTGCTAGCTATAACAAGAAAAGAAAAAGAAATGGAAGGAATAATTAAAGGCAAAGAGGAAACAAAATTATTGCTTTTTGCAGATGGTATAAAAGTTTTCTTAAAGAACTTTAGAGAATCAACTAAAAAACTAATGAAATAACTAACAATTCCAGCAAAGTTGAAAAATACAAAATAAACCCACACAAATCATTAGCATTTTTGTATATTATCAACAAAATCTAGCAGGAAGAGATAGGAAGAGAAATTCCATTTAAAATGGCTACAGAAAGTATAAACTATTTGAGAGTCTACTTGCCAAGACACATACAGGAATTATATGAACACAATTACAAAACACTCTTTACACAAAGAAAGATCTAAGTAATTGGAGAAATATTAATTGCTCATGGGTGGGGCAAGCCAATAGGATAACCGTAATGATAGTACCTAAATTAATTTACTTATTCAGTGCCATGCCAATCAGTCAGGCAAACTCCCAAGGATTACTCCATAGAGCTAGAAAAAGATTACAACAAAATTCATCTGGAGGAGCAAAAGGTCAAGAGTCCCAAGGGAATGAATGAAAAGAAAAGTGGGAAGGAAGAGAGCCTAGGAGTGCCAGATCCTGAAACACGCTACAAAGCAGCAATCATCAAAAACAACTTGGTTAAGAAATAGAAAGGTGGGTCGGGGAACTATTCAAGCCCACAACATAAAGAAGCAAACAAGCACCGAAGCCTGGTGAAACCCAAAGATCCCACTTAATGGGGCAAGAACTCACTATTCAACAAAAGGTGCTGGGAAAACTGGAAAGCAGCCTGGCAGAAACTAGGCATAGACCAACACCTCATACCACATATCAACATAAGCTCCAAGGGGTGCATGACTTAGACAAAATGGGTGACATCATAAACAAATTAAAAGAACAAGAAAGACATTATCTTTCAGCTCTATGGTGTGGAAAAGAGGTAAGAGGCAAAATGGGAAAAAATCACAGAAGGGAAAATGGACAATTCGGATTACATAAAATTAAAAAGCTTTTGCACAAACAAAACTAATGCAGCTAAAATGGAAGAAAAACAGGAAACGGGGGGAAAATTTTTCAGCAAGCTTCTCTGATAAAGGTTTCATTGCTAAGTTTCATGTAGGAAAGTGATTAACATTTCTAAGAATAAGAGCCATTCCTAGAGTGATAAATGATGAAAGAATAGGAACAAGCAGTTTTAAGAGGAAGAAATTCAAGCTACTATATGAAAAAAAGTGTTCCAAATCAGTAATGATTAGAGAAATACAAATTAAAATTACTCTGAGGTTCTACCTTATACCCATCAGACTTGGAAATTTGATTTTTTTTAAAAAGGTAAAAATGGAAGGGCCTGTGGGGGTGGGGTGGGGAAGGTACCTCAATGCCTTATTGGTAGAGCTGTGAACTGGTCCAGACATTCCAGAAAGCTATTAAACTGTACATACTCGGGGCATCTAGGTGGCACAGTGGATAGAGCACTGGCCCTGAAGTCAGGAGGACCTGTGTTCAAATTCGGCCTCAGACCAAACACTTGACACTTACTAGCTGTGTGACCCTGGGCAAGTCACTTAACCCCAACTGCCTAAAAAAAAAAAAAAGGCAAAATTAAAAAATCAAAAATTAAACTGTACATACCCAGCGATAGTAGGACCCACATGTACAATGTGGTAGCAGAAAACTGGAATCTGAGCGGGCGCCCATCAACCAGGGAATGGCTGAACAAGTTGTGGGATATAAATATCACGGAAGACTATAGTGCTGAAAGAAATGACGAGGGGGATGGTTTCAAAGAAACGGGAAGACTTGCATGAACGGATGCAGAGTGAGGGAGCAGAACCAGGGCAACAGTTTATGCAGTAATGGCAACACCGTGACAAGTGACTCTAAAGACCGAGGCCCTGCAGTCAACACCGCGGCCACGCGCAGGGCCCTGCTCCTGACAGAGAGGGCAGAGGGCGCACTCTCAGAGGGCAGGCCAGCTCTCTTTATACACAGCCTGTGTGGGAGTTTGCTCTGTTCGATTATATATGTTTATAATGAGGGTTCTGTTTTTCTTGCTTTCTCAGTTGGGGGGAGGAGGTAGGAGGGAGAGAAGGAAAACTTTTCCTTTGGGGGAAAAAAAAGCCAGAGCTAAAAGCATCAGGCCTCACTGCTCTACAACAAGATCCACAGATATGGTGAACTGAGGCAGTGTGCTGCTGTGGATAGAGTCCTGGATTTGAAGCCAAGAAGTCCTGGGTTCAAATTCTGCCTCAGATACTGCCTAGCTGTGTGATCCTGGGCAAGTCACTTCACCTCTGTCTGCCTTAGTTTCCTCATCGATAAAATGAGGGGGTTGGACTTCATGGCCTCTCAGGACCCTTTCAGGTCTAGATCTATGATCTTATGATTCCACAAGCCAAGATTCACGCACATGCACACATCACAGGGGAGGAGGCACAAATGTGCGGAGAATGAGAGTCACACACGTGCCAGTCATGTAAATGTCTGGATGGACAGTAAGTGAGCTGTCTCATTCTAAGAGGCCCAGGCCATCTTCATCCCCTAGGAGAAGCAAGTGTCTAGAGGAGAACGTATGTGTGTGTGCGTGTGTGTGCATGTGTGTGTGTGTGTGCGTGTGTGTGAGAGTGTGTGTGAAAGAGAGACAGAGAGACAGAGACAGGGAGACAGAGAGAAGAGAAGAGAAGAGAAGAGACAGTGGGAGCTGAGGACCAGCCTGTCAGTCGCTCAATCTGCTCCTCAAGGTTTACGCCCCCAGTGCCTAACACAGTGCCCGGCTCAGAGGCCATACCTAATAAACGCTAGCTGATTGACTGATTAATCACATACTGGTTCTAGGCAGGGCAGAAGGGAAAGCGAGCCTGCCTCCCACGTGGTTCAGTGCCAAGAGGCTCATCCTCAGGGTGGCGGCTCTCAAACCCTGTCCACTGAGACACACAGAGGCTGCAGCTGGTATAGGTGGACAGTCCCAAGGCCCGCAGAGCCAGGGCATGGAGGCCAAGCCTCTTGCCTTACCACAAGAGGCAAAGGGGCTGGCCCGGGCACACAGTAAGTAACAGAGCGGGGTTACTTGAACCCTGGCCTTTGGCCTCCAATCCTGGCCTCTTGGAGGGAGCACCAGGAGCACCAAAATGGCAGGCCCTGGACAGTAACAGGGTGCTCAGACACTGCTGTGGCTTCTCCAGGCTCTATGCCAACGCCAGGGCTGGCGGGCTGCCTCCCCCCACCCCAAAGGGGCACACGAGGAAATGAGGGCAACAGAGGGGACTCCGGGCACGGGGGCGGGCGAGGCGGCGGCGCGACATCCAGTGAGGGGACGCGGAGGCGGGCCCGGCAGCTGCATACTCACGGCCAAGATGCCGATGGTCACCTTGAGGCCGGCCCAGAGGACGCCGATGATGAGGATGAGACTGTGCTGCAGCGAGGCGTACAGGCCCGACGTCAGGATCAGGACACACAGGCAGAGCTGCGGAGGGAGATGAGCAGAAGAAGGCTCAGGGCAAGGGCTGTTTGTTTTGCTATTTGTGCTGGAAAGAAAAATCCACATAAACCCACGGCGCTTGTCAGCGACCACCAGCCTGAAGACATCTTCCTCTGGCCTCGTGAACATGGTCCTGGCAGCTCCAGGGCCCCTCTCCCGTCTGGCTTCAGCCCTCCCAAGCCAGGACCTCCTGACGTTCATTCATTCTCCTTATTACTACCCTTCTGATGAAGAGTCCCAGGGCTGCCTAGCGGGGTACACCTGAGCGTGAGCTTTAAGCGGCAAGGGGCTCTGCCCCATGGGAAAGCAGCCTATGCTTGACGGCCGGCTACTGGAGCCTGCCGGGCCTTTCGGGCTCCCTCCAAGGCCCCAGAGCAACAACGAGGTTCGTTCATCCCAGACCTCAACCGTCAGGAGTCAGAAACAAGGTGGTCCCGTTTGTGGGCCAGCAAGGGAGCTCTTGGGACGGGTCGGCATCTGTATTAACCAATACTAAACATACCCCCTCTGGTGCGAGGGGGGAAGAAAGAGTGCACTTGTTACAGAAAGGGTCTGATAGCACCAGCGGCCCATGAGAGTGTGAGCGGCAGCCTGACCCCCTTTCCTGAATGGCCCCAGAAAAGTGAGCCATGGGAAATCCAAGATTCTCTCTGTTTGGAGCAGAGCCCAGTGGGAACATGGCGACATATCTCTCAGTACAAGGAAGCCTTGTTCTTTTACTGATGGCTGAGGGGAGGCTGAAGAGGGTATGTGTTATAGTCTTACACCAACTCTCCCAAAAAGGAAAGACGGAAGGGAGGAAGGGAGGAAGAGAGGGAGGGAGGGAGGAAGGGAGGGAGGGAGGG